TCCTCCTAAGAGTTAAACTGTGCAGTTAATGCCACACACGGCACATTGAAGCGGAGATTGCGCAAACGCGCTGGGAGGCAGGATGCGTGGTCCCAGACCCGCAAAGCTCTTAGTCTCAGTGTGTCCTCAGGGAAGGCGAGGCCAGTGCTTGGCCCCAGGGCTGGGCGTGGAGCTCAATGGTGAAGCTCTAGTTTAGCACTCAGGAGGCCTTGGGCTAGCTCCCTGGAGTTGCAAAAATAAAGCAAAACAAAAATAAACCAGCTGTCAATCAGCCCAAACTGGCCGCGCCCACTGCTCCTGGGAACTCAGTAGCTCCGCCCACGACTGCAGCAGCACCTCCAGCCCCTCGCACACCGCGGCCCCAGCCCTCCGCCCCTCGGCTCCTGCCACCCAGGTCCCAACGCCTCCCTGCCTGGCCTTGCTCCTCTGCGCCCCGTTCCTTCTTGGCAATCAGGGATTGCAGTTCGAACAGCCTTCAGATCGATTGTTCTGTCAAATTCCTCCAAGGGCTTCAAACTCAGGCCCAGGAGTCCCTTCATGGGCTGTGCTAACTGGGCACAGTGGCCCTGACGGGTCTCCCACCCCCTCCCATGGCCCTGCTCCACCATCCCGGCCACTTGTGCCCACACCTCTGGCCTGGACATCCTGCCTGCAGATCCCTGATCCTTCCCTGGTGTCCTTCAGGTCTTCTCTCAAATGCAAGTGTCACCACTTGAGACCTTTCCTGACCCCAGGAAACGGTGGACGGCAACCCCCACTCTATCCACGGGGCTTAGCACCACATCAGTGCTCCTGAGCGCTCTCGCCTGTTCTGTTTGTCCGTCTCCCGTCACTGTGGCAAGCTCCGTGGGGCGGGGTCTTGACTGCTGTCCGGCTGGTTGGCCATCACAGTCTGTGGACCCAGTGAATGGCCAAGCTGTCATCAGTCAGCTCCTCTGCGGTGGGGGTCAGGGGCACTCTGCAGGCTGTCCCTGTGGGGAGAGAGGGGCAGCCAGGGCAGGGGAGGAACTGGGACAGGGGCACCCTCACCAAGGCCCATGGGAAAGTGGGAAGCTGAACTGGTCCTCTGAATCGACGAGACATGGACACAGGGTGTCCCCGCCAAGGCAGCTCTCATAGCCAGGGCCACCATAGCTGGTGACCTTCCTGAAAGCTGGGGAACAAGGGCTTGGTCCTGGAAGGAGGGGATCCTGTGGTGCCGGGGTGCAGCGGGCCCATCCAATCACCCATGGCCAAGGGAGGGGTCTTCTGTGCCACCAGAGCAGGCCGCCCCTGCCCCAGGTTGGAGGGAAAAAAGCAGAGACAGCAGAGGGAGGGGCTGAGAGGGGCCAACGGCTGTTACTCTCAGGAGCACCCGGGGGCCACCGAGGGGGGGAGGGGACTGACACAGTCTGGGTCTGGGGTGGAGCCCGGCGGCGCATGCTAAGCGAGCACTCTTCACGGAGCTGCACCCCCAGCCCTAGTTTGAATCTGAGGTCCCACAGAGGCCCAGGTTTGAAGCTTGGTTCCTAGATTGTGACACTGTTGAGTGGTGGAGCCTTAGGAGAGGGGACATAGAGGAAGGAAGTTAGGCCACTGGGGTGCTCTCGAAGGGGACTTCATGTCCCCACCCTTTGCCCCCCTGCCTGGAGGCGAGTGGGCCTCCTCTGCCGCTGGCTCTTGCCATGATGAGCTCCTGCCACAGGCCCAAAGCCACAGGGCCAGGAACCAGGGACTCGAACCTCTGAAACCACGAAAATAAACTTTCCATACTTTTAAGTTGATGATCTCAGACGTTTTGTCACAGGGACGGGCAGCTGGCTCACCCAGGGAGGCCAAGCAGGGACTTTCAATGACTGGGGTGACTTGCTAAACTGCAGCAGAGGGCCACCCAGCTGCGGCACGGGTGGGGAAACGGACCGTGTTCAGCGGCCTGAGAACACGCGACAGCCATGTGCAGCCATGCCCACATGGAAGAACCCTGCACTTGGCAGGTTGGAGGCCCTGGGTTCATTCCTGGCACTAAGGAAACAAAGAATCCCCCGGGAAATGTGGGTAAGTAAGTTCAGTTAGCACGGCCAGAGGCGCCCCTCATCCCCGTGATGATTGTAAGGAAAGAAAAGCCTCCTGTTCCATGATGGGGCAGGAGTTGGAGAGCTCTGGTGTGTTGTTCCTGTTGCCTAATCCACCACGAAGAGCCGGGTTCTCTGACAGAGACCAGGACGGAGCTGGGAGGGGCAGCCAGTGGCTGTGCTGTTTGCATCCTCATTCTCTGGTCCAGGGGGCCAGGAGAGGAAGAAGGTTCTAGAAGCAGCCAGTGTGGCTCAGTGGTAGAGCCAGTATGTACAAGGCTCTGGGTTCAACACCCAGCAGAGCTTTTTTTTTTTTTTTTGGTAAAAAGAAAATAGTAAAGGTGTTGTGAGCCTCTTGCCCTCTCTTGTTTGTTCATTTAGCTACTGTTTGGGTGGTGCTGGGAATTGATCTCAGGGCCTGGCTCTGTACTGTGTGAGTGCACTCTCATTTTTGAGTGAAGGTTTTTTCCCCCTCTTTCATCTTCTTTTTTTTTCATATTTATTTTTTAGTTGTAGTTGGACACAATACCTTTATTCATCTTTATGTGGTGCTGAGGATCGAACCCAGGGCCTCACACGTGCTAGGTGAGTGCTCTACCGCTGAGCCACAACCCCAGCCCCTTCCCTCTTTCTTCTTAAATGAGATGCTCATGAGTTCTCAAGGACAGGGAGAGAGCAGCTCTGGGACAGAGGTGGGGCAGAGGGTGCTGGAGAGGGGCCTGGGCCCAGGAGAGGGGCCGGGGCCCAGGATGGGCGCAGTAGGAAGCTGAAGGGTCTTCCTGAGACTGGGGGAGGGTGGAGAGGGGAGTGGAGCCAGGCAGCAGGTAGGTCTCCCTCCCTTAGCCCTGGAGGCAACATCTTCTGCTGAGAGTGAAGGGTGGCCGTGGGGACAAGGGGGATATGGGTGCAGGAGCTGGAGGTGAAAAAAACCTTCTGGAGAATTTGAGCCTATGATTTTTTAAAATTATTTTATCTTTTACTTTGGATACTTGGGATTGAACCCAGGGACACTTTACCACTGAGCTACATCCCCAGCCCATTTTATTTTTAATTTCGAGATAGGACTTTGCTAAATTGCCCAGGCTGGCCTCAACCTTGTAGTCCTCCTCCCTCAGCCTCCTGAGTGGCTGGGATCACAGGCATGGCCACACCCAGAAAACCTAGTATCACTTTTAAAATTCAGTTGATCATTGATTTTTTTTTTCATTAAAAACAATTTATCACAGAGCCAGACATGGTAGCCCTCTCCCATCTTCCCAGGCACTCAGGAGGCCGGGGCCTGAGGATCACTTGAGCCCAGGAGCTTGGGACCAGCCCGACTGTCTTGTGGACCCTTCGGTTCTCCTGTATCCATAGTCTCTCAGTGCAGACAGCGTCACACAACATGAGCGGCCTAGGACACACTGAAGTTTGTTTCTCCCCGTGGTTTCTGAGGTAGGAAATGAGGAGGGGTGGGAACAATGAACCTGAGCTCAGGTCAACAGAGGCCGGAGGAGGAGTCAAGCCCTTGAATAATCTTTTTTTTTTTTGGGGGGGGGGGCTGGGGATTGAACCCAAGACAAGCCCTCTACCAACTAAGCTATGTCCCCAGCCCTGAATAACCCTGATACAAAGCTAAAAGGGGACAGGGAATATAGGAGTTTTTTTGTTTTGTTATTTATCATTTTATTATGGAAAATTTCAAACACAGTAGAGATTAATATAACAAACCCCAATATACCCATGTTCTGGGTCGTATTCTGTCTCCAAAACACAGCTATGTTGGAGTCCTAACCCCCAGTACCTATAACTGTGGCTTATTTGAAATTAGGCTCTTAAGGAAGACAATCAATTAAAAATGAGGTCACTGGCGTGCCTTAATCCAATACCATTGGTGTCCTTATAAAAAGGGGAAACTCGGGCTCAGAGACAGACACACACAGAGGGAAGAGAACACGAAGTTGCAGAAAGAAATTATCATAAAGAATTTCACACAGAAAAGCAGAAAGAATCTGTTTCCATCATGTGAGGATGTAGGCAAAGATCGAGGCCAAGGGGTACCAAAGAATGCCAGCCCCCCCCCCCGGCCCAGAACAGTCTCCCTCACAGCCGCCAGAAAAGCCAGATGCCAGCCTTGTGAGGTGGGGGGTAGACGACAGAGAAACAGGTGATAGGTGGATTATAGACAGACAGACAGATAAGCAGACAGAGGATGGAAAGATAGTGATCAATAGGTAAGTAAGTAGATAACAGATAAATAGATGAAGATTATTAGAAGACAGAAAACATGATCATAGATAATTATAGATAAACAGATTATAAATAGATAAGTAGGTAGATGGTAGATTATAGACAAGTAGGTAGATGAGGGATAGACGGATGACAGCTGGGTAGTTGATAGATGATAAATGAATTATAAATGGATGATAGATGATTATAAATGACAGACAGATGATAAGTGAGTGATAGATGCTAGATGGATGGATGATGGACATACATATCCTGCACACATGGGAGAGGAAGGGGCAGGCGGTGTCCACTGGCCTCGCTGGCCCGTCCAGTCTGACAGCTCTCTGTCCAGGCCTCTCCCTCCCAGGTGCCGTCCACACTCCCTGTTCCTCCCTCCCACGCAGAGCTCGGCCTCCTTCCTGCCTGCTCCTCAGGTCAGGTGGTCCGTCCTCGCCTGGGTGGCCCCTCCTGCACATGGTCCTCCTCCAGTGAGGAGCCTCCCTTTTCTCCTTCTCACGAGACTGATGTTCCATGAGCCTGGGGCATCTGCCCTGCGTCTGGCTGTCATCAACGTCCCTGTTTCCCCAAGCCCACGGAGCAGCATGTGTTCGACATCCATGTACCAGAAGGGTCCCTTCTTGTCAAATGTTCAACCCGAATCCCCCCACCCCACCCTCCATAACAGCGGGGTTTCCGCTGACGCGGGATAAGATGGCACAGACGCTGGCCTCTCCCCTCCCCATATGCTTGAGTTGTGCTGCCCCCAAAGATGCTGAAGTCCCAGTACCTCAAAATGACCTTATTTGGAAATGGGGTCATTGCCACTGCAGAAATATGACAAGGCCGTGCTGGAGAAGGGCCTTTACCACCCCCCCACGGTGTCCTGCCAAGCTCTGGAGCGTGAAAACACATTTCTGTGGCTCCAACCTGCCCGTCAGTGGTGGCACTTCGTTACGGCAGCCCGAGGTCTAAGGCAGCCCCCAAGCCCGTGGATTGCAAAAAAGGAGGTGGCGGCACTGGGGAGGTGGGGGCCCCTGCCTTGAACAAAGGGGCGGCCCCTCCTGAGTCACCTGGAATAAAGGGCGTTTAAATGGCTTACGGCCCTGTGACTGCAGCAACCCATCAGGTGGCAGCTGCGCTGACGGGGGCTAATCTGAGCCCCTGGGCGGCCCCACAAGTGGGCATTCAGGTCCTCGCAGTGGGTGGGAAGGGGCTTCCTCGTGCCCCTCCCCAGGGACCCTCTTCAGACCTGCCCAGGAATGGCCACACCGACGCTCCCCAGATGGAGGGTCACATGTCCCGAATAACACAGCCTCAGGAGGCCCGTGTGGAGGCCAGGCGCCGTTGTCCAGTCAGGATCTGTTGGTCGGGTGAACTCTACTTTGAGACTTTCAAAGGCCTAATTGAAATGAAGTGAAAAGCCAATGTCCCTGAGCACGGGGCTGGGGACAGGCTGTGGGGCAACTAGAAAGAGCCTCTTCCTCGTCTTTTCCCTTCCACCCCCAGCTGCCTTAGGTCCAGCCCCGCCCCAGGGGTGGGCAGGAGGACAGGGCAGCTGTCCTGGCAGAGGTGCTGGGGCCACTGTGGCTTAGGCCAGTAGGCAGGGGACAGGCTGGCTGCCATGTCAGCCAGCCGGAGTAACAGAGGGTTGTGGTGAACTCCCGTGTCACCAGAGAGGGTGACAGGAGGTCCCAGAGAAGGCAGCGGGGTCCTTGACATATGTGATGGAAAGATCCACTTAGGAAAGCGAGGAGGACACCTTGAGGGAGAATGAAGGTCACCTGTCCACTGAGAAGCACTTTGGGGCTCTCAGGCCCTTCTTTTAAAGGGTCTTAGCAGGACATGAGGGGGCATGTGGGCTGGCACCCCCGCTGGTCACAGATGCTCTGGGGGGGTCTGGAATGGTCAGGTCCTCGGGTCCTACCTGACTGGTAGCTGATGCTGGCAGACTGCGCTGGCTCCGCCTCGGTGCTCAGCCTGTTCTGAAGACGCGTGGACTGGGGCTGATGAGCGGTGCCCGGGGGTGAACTTTCCAGCGATTTTCAGGCTGTGAGTGGAGATCCGTAGGCTTCCCCGAAACGTGGAAGTGACCGACCCGGGAGGAAAGCTGCCCGGGGAGGAAGGTGTGAGGGGCCCAGCGGAGGCTCTGGGGGAGGCCAGCCTCCTGCCGGACCTTTGCCTCCTTTCTACCTGGGGTTTATTTACTCTTTTATCCTGACTCATTCCCATCCCTTGTTCCTCAGCGTCCGCCATGAAGGGTGAAGGTCTGGCTTCCAGAATGGCTCTGAGCTGGACAGAGACAGCGTCCTCCTACTAAAGGAGACAGACAGGAACTGGTCAACGGGGACAGTTGTGGGATGGACTGGCATCCTTTGGTTGGTTTGCTTGTTTCTGTTTAGGCACAGACAGTGATTTACTGAGGAAGCAGAGACACACTCAAGGGAGATTGTGGGTCACCTCAAGACAATGAGAAGCAGCCGGGGTCCCCCCATTGCCCCTCTCTCGGTGTGGAACACTGCAGTCTGGAAGATTCGCACTTGCACGTGGAGATTAAGAAGGAAGGGCTTGCCGGGCGCCGTGGTGCACCCCTGGAATCCCAGCGACTCAGGAGGCTGAGACAGGAGGATCCAGGCTCAAAGCCAGCCCCAGCAACCTAGTAAGGCCCTGCCTGAAAATAAAAAAGACTAGTGATGTGGCTCAGTGGTTAAGGGCCCCTGGGTTCTGTCCCCAGTTCCCCCAAAATAAGGCAAGGACTGAACAATGGGGAACAGCAACCAAAGTCCTTGGAGTGGGAACAGCCAGCGGGGGGTGGTGGGGGGGTGGGGGTGGTCGAAGGTCGGCCCCACCGAGGGTGTGCGCGTGGTTCTGTGGGAGCTGATCGGTGGCCAAAGGACTTCCCCACAGCCAGAGAAAAACACCCACAAGAGGGGCTGGGGCTGGGGCCCAGCAGTGGCACTGGCCTAGCACGTGCGAGGCCCTGGGTTGGATCCTCAGTGCCACATAAAAATAAATAAAATAAAGGTACTGTGTCCAACTACAAGAGCAGAAAGGCCCAAGAGCCCTGGTTTATACTACAGAGGGGAACTTAGCTTAAATAGGTTTTTTTGTTTTTATTTTTTGAACAGGACTCGGACATCCTCTAGTGGCTTACACGAAGAGAAGTTCTTCTTTTTCCTTCTCTGTCTCTCTCTCTCTCTCTCTCTCTCTCTCTCTGTGGTGTGTGTGTGTGGTCCTGGATCTGCAAACCTCAAGTGGGATGGGTTTAATTTTGATCGGGGGTCCGTGATGTCCGCCCTTGGAGATCCCCACTGCGGGGGTCTTGGGGGACCTGCACAGACCCTTCTGCCCAGGAGTCTGAGCCTGGCTCCTCCTCTCCCTGCTGGAGGGGGCGTACTTGCCCCAGGTTACCCCCCTGCTGGAAGACCAAGCAGGTCGCCCTGTGTCGGCTGAACACCAGTTTGTTGCTGGGTTGTTAAGGTCAGTGCAGGCTTCTTGGGGTTACCCTTGGGGACTTTGTGAGAAACCTCTCAGTTCCTTTAATCTTTTCCTCTACCAGTCGTGCCATCTGCCAGGATGGGCCAGGGTCTCGCGGACCACATGGCTTCCCTTAGAAAGGCTGGGGACATTCCCTTGTCCAATGGTCCTCCTTTTTGCAGAATATGCACTGGGTGGCTCCTGGTCTCTGGGGTCTTCATAATCCCCGAGTGAGAGGTCGATGACTCACCAGAGTTGCAGTTCTCCTAGAGGGAACCGTCATTCCCTGGGTTCCAGCTGATCTTAGAGGGTGAGGGCCAGAAAAATGACCAATTTTCCCTCTTTATACTTTTTATTTCTTGTTTTCATTTTCAAGTCTCTGTTGTTGAATAGTCAGATCAGTTCCACTGTTTCTTTTTTTTTTTTTTTTTTTGGAGGGGTGGTACTGGGGATTGAACTCAGGGGCACTCGACCACTGAGCCACATCCCAGCCCTATTTTGTATTTTACTTAGAGACAGGGTCTCACTGAGTTGTTTAGAGCCTCACTTTGCTGAGGCTGGCTTTGAACTCATGATCCTCCTGCCTTAGCCTCCGAAGCTGCTGGAATTACAGGCGTGCACCACTGAGCCTGGCCATTAGTTCTTTTTAATGAATAGGGGTCAATATAGCCTATCTGTCCTGTAGATGTTGGCTATCATATTAAAATATGGCTTAGGTTGTTTCATTAGAAGTTATAATTCTGTAAAATGTTAACTTTAAGGAAAATAGATAACAAAGTTGTTGTTATTTATTCATCTATTTTTATGGTACTGGGGATTGAAAACAGGGGCCCTCTATCACTGAGCTACTTCCCTAGCCCTTTTGATTTTTTGTTTTGAGACAGGATCTTGCTAAGTTGACCAGGCTGGCCTTGAACTTGTGATCCTCCTGACTCAGCCTCTGGAGCAGCTGAGATCACAGTTGTGTGCCACTGAAAATGGTTTCTCAAAATAAAATTAAGAGCAAAGAAAATCCAGTGTCTATAATAGTTCTGAAAATATTAGATATCACAAATAAATTCCAATTAAAACGTTATTTTTATATCTTATTTTCTTGTCCTAAAAAATAAACGAAAAAAATTTAAAAAGTAGAATGTGGGGCTGGAGTTGTGGTTCACAGGTAGATCACTGGCCTATCATGCGTGAGGTTTGATCCTCAGCACCACATAAAAATAAACAAATAGGGCTGGGGATGTGGCTCAAGTGGTAGAGCGCTTGCCTGGCAGGCGTGCGGCCCAGGTTCGATCCTCAGCACCACATACAAACAAAGATGTTGTGTCCGCCAAAAACTAAAAATAAATAAATAAATACAAATAAACAAATAAAGGTATCGTGTCCATCTACAACTAAAACCAAAAAAAATAATAATAAATAAATAAAGGTATCGTTTTCACCTTCAGCTAAAAAACAAATGTTTAAAAAAATAGAGTGTACTTATTTGCAGATGTTTTTCCTAGGTGATCAATGCTCAGTCGTTTTTGGCAGGGGTTCTGGGAATTGAAGCCAGGGGTGCTTTCCCACTGAGCCACACCCCCAGTGCTTTTTCTTTTGAGATACAGTGTGACTTAGTTGCCATGACTGGCCTTAAACTTGCGATCCTCCTGTCCTAGAGTCACTGAGGTTACAGGCATGTGACACTGTGCCCATCCAATGCCCAGTCTTTTAACTGCCAGAGTAGCGTGGTTTGGAACACCAAGTGTTTGGGCACATCTAAATAGTTTTGCTGAAAGACGACAGTCGTCATACAATTAGGAGTACACAGATTAACGCTTGAGAAAAGCTCTCCTTACTAACAATTTTAGTTTGGAAGACATCATCTTGGTAGAGTGTTTTCCTAAGCTCTGTGTTTTAGAATGCTCATATACCTGGCAAACACAAGTGCATTCGGCATACAAGATCCTCACACTTACCTAGAAGTCCTCTATATATCAACTTAGCTTTTACTTTTGGAGGGAAATTCAGACTCCTCGGCTCCATAAGATCACTATAATTACAGGTCTACCTAGGCTAACAGCATGGACAAAGAACCACTTTAGACCTCTTCTAAGTTCAGGAAACAGTGTTAATGACCGTTCATTAACTCAATTAACAAAGACTCTTCCGGGCTGCTTGCGGATACCGTTGCTATTCCAGAAATCTCTTGCTACATAACCATCCTCCCCAAATGCCAGGACAGAGGCTCTTCTGTGGCTGTTTTAAAATCACCCTATCTGGGGAACAAGATATGTAATTCATGTCACAGAGAAAGAATGCATCTCTCTATTACTTAAGAGTTCTGAATAACAATGGGCTGGGGTCAGCTCCCAGCTTGCCCCCCATGCTCGAGGGCCTGGGTTCTGTGCCCAGCATCACAAAAGAAAAAAAGAAAGACAGAAAGAATTCTAAGAAATAAGGGAAGAAAGTGAAAAACGATGGAGAAGGAACATGTAAAAATACAAATGACCCTTAAATATGTAAAAATATGACTAAGTTAATTTATAAAAAGAAAACTTCTGATTATAAGTACCCTGAGATATGATATCCTACTAACTGACACAAATTCAAAACTTGGACCCTCTCCTCATCCATCAAGGCCAAGGTGGGTTTGTCCAGCTCAGGTGGGATACAAAGTGGGACAGTCTGGTGATGGGGAACATCTGTCACAACGACAAATGCTCTGAGCTTTAGCTGTCTGTGAGTCTCCGGGACTGCATCTCGAGGTCACTGCTGACCATGTCATTCCTTGCAGCACTGTTTATAAAGCAAACAATGGGAAAGATCCCACTTTCCCTCAATAGAGGGACAGATAAAATTGTGGACTAGTAGAAGACTGCACAAATATAAAGAAACAGGAAGAAGCTTTTGGGTCCTTCTTGACAATTATGGGGATAGCTAGAGGACCCTTGCTAAGGTGGAGAACAAACAGTGTGTAAGCTAACCTGCTTTTGAGGCCAGATTAACCTGCATATGCATTTTAAAAACTGAAGAATACTGAGAAATTTCAAACCATTTGCTATGGTTTGAAAGTGTCCCCTAAATTCCAGAGGCTGAGGCGGATATAGGAGTGCAGACCTGTAATCCCAGCAATTTGGGAAGCTGAGGCAGGAGGATTGCAAATTAGAGGCCAGCCCCAGCAACTTAGCGGGACCTTATCTACACAAAAAATTTTTAAAAAGGGCTGGGGATTGTAGCTCACTGGTTCAGCAACTGTGGGTTCTATCTCCAGTACCGCAAAAAAAAAAAAAAAAATGCTTGTTAATGACTACATTTTGCGGTATGACCTAAGTGCAAGCCCCTCGTGTACATAATTGAATTTGAATCAGTGAAACCAAATGTTCTCATCTGGGTTATTTACAAAAGTAAACTCTTAAGTGATGGTGTAAGTTTAGATTTACAGAAAAACTGCGACCATAGTGCACAATTTCCTCCCCGCCCTTCATTCCATTTCAGCCACGGCAGTCTGGCGCTGCGTGGTACAAGGCTAGAATAAACACTGGTCCTTCACATCAGCTAGACTCCAGGCTTTATTTGGATTCTCCCAGCTTCTCCACCTACATTCCTATTCTGTTCCAGGATCCAGTCCAGACCCCCGTGCTGCGAGCACTTCAGGGACCTTGTTATTGCACAGGCGTCCTCAGCTGATGCAGGAGGGCACTCCTGGGGACCCATCTGTCACTCGCAGCTGGGAATGTGAGCTCCTGTTCACCCCTCCCATCCCTCGGTGCCTGAGGACTCTCTTAACTGAGGGATGTCAACCAGGGGTAAGAAGGAAAGACCTGAAGAATTGCCCATGGTACTCCCACCCCACGAGGGGCTTCCTGTGCGCGCCCCCAGAGAGCCGGGGAGAGAGGTGCTCATTCTCAGATTCCATCAACAGACACTGACTGAGCCTCTACTGTGTGCAAGGTCCTCTGGTAGATGGCATGGGGGGAAACACAGTTGAATAAGCCCTTCTCTCACTTTTAAGGGCTGCCATCCAGCCAGAGAGACAGCCTGACCCCCAACTCTGGAGGTGGGGCTGAGACACAGGTAACTGGGCAGAGACAGAGATGAGGAGATGTGCTTCACCTGGGAAGACTGAAGGCTTCCTGGAACACAGGTCTTTTGAACCAGGCCTGAAAGGAGGGTGGGATTTCAATGGTAACGGCAAAAAGGAACAGTGTTGTAACTGAAGGAACAGCAGAGGCCAAGGTGCAGAGGTGTGAGAGTTGAGGGCAGGTGCCCAGGACTCCTGGAGCTGAATGTAAGGGGAGAAGGGCCCCAGGAGGGCAGCGAATGCTGGGGCAGGAAATCCACCCTTCTCCAGCAGGTAGTGAGAAGCACCTCAGAGTCCCACACAGGGAAGATGGGAGCCATGTGACTTTTAGGGAGGAGCTTGTGGCAGTAGGACAAGAGGGTGAAGGATCACAGGAATGGAAGAGGATGAGGCAGGCAGAGCAGAGACGGAGATGGACAGTGGTTGGGATACGAGGATGGGGTGGAGGTGGGGTGACAGAGATCACAAGACAGAGGGACAGAAAATGGGGAGCTGATGCCAATCTATTGAAGGGGCCGGTTGGATCAAGGGATTTTGAGGTTGAAGGTGCAGGAGATCCCTCCCCAGAGGTCACACTGAGCCTGGTGCTCAGGTAATAAATGAGGCATCATCCATGAAGAGGAAGTGGCAGAGGGTCCTCTGGGCAGAAGAGGAAGCAGATCACCATGCTTCACAGGGGTCATGTCTGCAATGCCTGTCACCCACAGTCTATGACTCCTGCATAACTCCTGCATAACTCCTTAAGGATCCTTGTCCACAGGAGGTCAAAGCTTTTCCTGGGCTAATGACACCCCCACGTGTGCACCCCTCATAGAAATGGTCTCACTGCCTGCCCCCAGCTCCTAGTCTCCTGGACCCCAGCATGCACCGTCCCATCACAACCTGCTGCCACCCCACTCTCAGCCCCTTGCCCTCTGGGGCCCACATTTTCTAGCCACTGACAACTTTCCCTGCATTGTGTGGCTGGGAACCCCCTTACCTTCTGCAGACCGTGGTCTTCTCAATCTTCAGGTCTGGGCTCCCTATCATCCTAGGGACAAGTCACCACACAGGTCTTTCTCCTGCCCTCTGTGGTTCATCAGTTATGGGCCCCGGTGGGATTGTGAGCCTGGAGACCATATCCCGTCCTCTCCAGGGTTCCAACTAGCCAGCGCAGTGAATGAGCAGGAAGTATTTGCCTTAATTTGTCCTAGACTTCCCACTTTAAAGATTCAAAGGGAGCATTTTTCTTCCATCATTGTAGGCCCTCCTATAACGAAATCTCCTCACCCCAAACAGGGTCTTCCTGACGAGGGGCTCTTGACCTTTTGCACACTAGATGATATTGGTTAGAAACTTTCCCCACCTGGGCTGGCGGGGTCCTTCACGTTCCCAGTTCACACATTTAGTCCTCTATCTGTACAACAAATATTAGGCTGGTTTGTGCCAGGCTCTGTTGAGGACCTCAGGGCCCGGTGGAACACGTGGACGCATGCCGGCCTTGGAGGTAGGCATTAAACGGTCACCGCAAAGCCGAGCGTGGTGGCGTATTCCTGTAAACCCAGCGACGCTGGACGCAGGAAGATCGCAAGTTCGAGATCAGCCTCGGCAACTTAGTGTGACCCTGTCTCAATAAGTAAATAAATAAAGCGAGCTCCCGCCCCTGCTCGCTGTGGGTGCCCGCTGGGCAGCTCCGGGTACTGCGCTGGGGCCAGGGTCCCGCCACCCGCGCGCCCAGCAGAGCATGATCCGCTCCCTCCGACGCCGCCCGGGTGCAGCGGGGGATTTTGGAGGCTGTGAGCCACCTCCCAGGGCTCCGCAGCTCAGTCTCCGCCGCGCGGCTCGGCCTCCAGGGCAGACCACTCAGGGCTCCCGGGCTCGGCAGCTAAGCCTCCGCCAGGAGCAGGGAGAGCGGCGGGGAGGCGGGGCCTGCACCTGGGGCGGGGTCTCAGCCAGGGGCGGGGTCTAGGGGCGGGGCTGTGGGCGGGACCTGAGCTCCGGGCGACAGCTCTCCTCCTTGTGGCCGCGACCTCGCCAGGCTAGAGAGACTGCCGCGCGCCGCGGGAGCGGAGCGATGGGTGAAAACGCCGCGCCAGGGCCCCTTAGACTAGACCCGGGCGGGGGAGGCCACGCGCGAGCACCCAGGTGCCCACCCACCTTCTCGGGCCCGTGAGCGGGGACACTGACCGCCCCCGCACTCCTGAGTGTCGAAGCTTCTTCATCTGCTGTCCCGGGAGCCAGCACAGCCAGACCAGCTGGAGGGTGGGCGCCCACGCTGCCGCTCGTGGCCGCCCAGGGTCTCGGGAGGAGAGAAGCGTGGGTATCTGGGGGCGCAGAGGTCTCCAGCCCGGCAGGGCGAGCCCGCGGGGGAAAATGTCAGCGCCGGGCCAGATCTGAGCAGGGTAGGCCGGAGGCAGCGCGGTGCTGGGCGGTAGCGCCCGGGTCATGGAGTGGTGCTGCCAGCTCCAGACCCGCTGTGCATCGCATTCCGCTGAATGACCTTGGGCATGAAGTAGACCTCCTGCTATGTAAAGCGACGATGTGGGGAGTCTGAATGACCTTGGGCATGAAGTAGACCTCCTGCTATGTGAAGCGACGATGTGGGGAGTGGGGAGTTCGCTGTGTCAGGTGCCCAGCACCCACGTGACCCTCAGTAAAGGCTGAACCCCGTCTGTCCACAGTTTTCATTTCCAAGCCTCCAGTTATCCGAGGTCCAAAAATATCCAATAGCAACTCCAGTTTGAAATTGCCCACTATTGTGAGTAACATGATAAAATCTCCAGCTGCCTGAACAGGACTCACCTTCACCTTTTGTCTCTCCTAAGGTATTTTGAGAGAAAGAGAAAGAGAAAGAGAGAGAGAGAGAGATCAGTCGCATAACTTTTGTTTGCTGCCCTGGGATTGAAACTAATTGGCTCTTGCTGGTGATGCTCTACCACCCAGCTGCATCCACCAGTGGCCCCCACCTGTTGTACTGGCGTTATTTATTTTATTTTATTTTCACTAAGTTGCCCAGGCTGTCCTCCAACTTAGGATCGTCCTCCCCAGCCTCCTAAGTAGCTGGGGGTTACATGTGTGTGATATCTTACCCTGCCCCACATAACTTTTAATACAGTATATTGTTATAACTGTTTTATTTTATTATTAATCTTTTTCTCTCTTTTTTGGGGAGTCCTGGGGATTGAACTCAAGAGTACTCTACCATTGAGCTACATCCCTAGCTCTTGTTTTTGTTTTTTGTTACTGGGGATTGAATCCAGGGAGCCACATCCCCAGGCTTATAACTAACTAACTATCTTTCTCCTTCCTTCCTTCCTTCCTTCCTTCCTTCCTTCCTTCCTTCCTTTCTTGTCTTTCTTTCTTTCTTTCTTTTTCTTTCGTGCTGAGAATCGAACCCAGTGCCCCAGGCATGCCAGGCGAGCGCACTACCACTTGAGCCACATCCCCAGCCCCCACTTTATTTATTTTTATGTGGTGCTGAGGATCGAACCCAATGTCTCACATGTGCAAGGCAAATGCTCTACCACTGAGCCACAACCCCAGCCCTCACTGAGTTTCTTAGGGCCTCGCTAAATTGCTGACCTGGCTTTGAACTTGCAATCCTCCTGCCTCATCCTCCTGAGCCACTGGGATTACGGGTGTGCACCACCATGCCTGGTATCCCTAGCTCTTTTTATTTTTAAGGCAGCGAATTGCCAAGGCTGGCCTTGAACTTTTGATCCTCCTGCCTCAGCCTCTGGAGTCCTCAGGATTATAGGCATGTGCCACCATGCCCAGACTTTACTCCACTTTTACAGAAAAGGAAATTGGGATGCAGAGACATTTCAGGAACTTGCCCAGGGTCACACAGCTAATTAGTGGTGGGTCCAGGCCACCCAAACCCCAGCCCACTCTCCAGTTCTGCCCCAGTACAAATGGGTGCATTCTATCAAGCCTGCCAAGGCTTTCTCTCCCTCCTCTGGGTATCTGCACACCCATGTCGGGCTCCCTCCAGCAGGGGCCAGGGCAGGGGTCGGTGGTGCTAATGTCCCGGGAGCACTGGGCCTAGATGAGGGCCCAGGAAGGGCTGGCTTCATGAACAAACTAGTGAACAAATGAATGTCGCCGTCCTGCAGGTCTGCTCTCAGAGCTGAAGCTGACAGTGCCCTGGGGCCACATTGCTGCCAAAGCCTGGGGCTCCCTGCAGGGCCCCCCAGTTCTGTGCCTGCATGGCTGGCTGGACAATGCCAACTCCTTCGATAGACTCATCCCTCTCCTCCCACAAGGTAGGGCGGGGGTGAAGGGAAGCTGAGGGGCCGCCTGCAGTGAGAGGCGGCTGATGGGGACCCTTCTCCTGCCCCTTATCTCTGGCCCAGACTTCTATTACGTTGCCATGGATTTCGGAGGTCATGGGCTCTCATCCCATTACAGCCCAGGTGTCCCGTATTACCACCAAAACTTTGTGAATGAGGTCCGGCGAGTCGTGGCAGGTGAGCAGGAGGCCGGGGTGTGGGGGTGCCCTGGGATGCACCCTCTGTGCTTGCAGCTGGGTGGTGCTAATGTCCTGGGAACACTGGCTGTGGCTCTGGTCTGGCCCCAGTTCCACCAGCAATTCTTGGGTGGAACTGGGGAGAAAGCTCTTCTCCAGCAAGAGCTCGCTTCCTCCAGTGCACCCCTAAACTGGTCCCCTGGGGGAGAGGGATTTTCCCAAGCCTGGGACAGCAGGAAAGAGGCCCGTGGGGGCGCCATCCAGACCTCCTGCTTTATGTATTTTCAGCCTTGAAATGGAGCCGTTTCTCTCTCATGGGCCACAGTTTTGGTGAGTACCCTTTGGCCAGCGACTGACTGGCCTCTTGCAGGGACTGTGGGAGGCCCGGAGTTGGCACCTGCTTCCTTTCTCTGCACCTCTGAGAACCACAGAGACACAGATGTCTTGGACATTGACCTTTGGCCTCTGTGCCCTCTGACCTCAGACATGTGGCTCAAAGGTGGCTATTCTCTGACCTGATGAGGGAGAGGTGGCCCCATGAGTGGACTGTCTGGAAGGGGCCTGATGAGCCAGGGGAGGGGGCCTGAGTTTGAGAAACAAAGCCCTGGCTGGAGCAAGGGTATGTCTGCTGACTGCTCCTTTGTCCTCTTTTTGTCCCCAGGAGGCACTGTAGGCGGCATGGTGAGTAGATGGCTTTGCTATGGCCACCTGAAGTGGTGGGAGTGGGGGAAGCAGGAGGAGGAAGTTCCCCCGGACAGGAAGGGCCTCCTCCCGGTTCAGTAGGGGCCTCTCCTCAGCTCGGCAGCACATCATGGTAGTAATCGCCCTCGTGAGGAAGTTGGTGTCAGGAAGTGGAGACTCCTGATAGAGTTCAGAGTTTCCACATTCCTGCCCATCACGGGGACCCTGGAGTCCAGCTGTCACCAGGGTCTGGAGCTGGGTGCAGGTGCAAACTTGGGAGGTCCAGGGGAGGAGCCTGAAGGGACAGAGGGTTCTCACTCTGACCTCTTGGGGGCCCCTTCGCCCAACCGAAGCCTTTTCAGGGAAGAGCTGCGTCCTCGCTCGGCTCACCCTTCCCTTTCTGTTCATCTAGTTTTCCTGCACCTTCCCCGAGATGGTGGATGAACTTATCTTGTTGGACGCATCGCCGTTTGCCATGGACATTAATGTAAGGAGGGGGCTTTGTGCCGGCTGCCATGGGAAGCCCCAGGCCCGGCTGGTGCCCTCAGCCCTGTCTCCTTTGGTAGATCAGGGAGGCTGGAGGAGGTGGCGGGGTGGATGGAGGTCGGGGGACCTTCACAGAGGCGAGCATTCCATGCTTGTACCCAGGAGTGGTCAGGGGAGGGGCCGTGGAACCCTGTGTGTGTCCTGGGAGCGGCAGAAGGCAGGTGGATTGTGAGCGGCGTGGAAGAGGAGAGGAACTGCGGGTTGAGGAATTGCGGAGGACACAGCCCGTGAGCCCACGACACTCACGCTCAGCCAGATTACTTTGTGCCATGCACACTTGCACAACCACACAAAGTGTGGACTGACAGGAAAAGTACTGACCCCTCCAGCCACCACCACCAATAACAGCCAGTGCTGTCCCCTTTATCTGAGACCTGGCTCTGTGGTTGGGTTCTGTGTAGCCCAAGGCAAGTCACTTGGCCCTTCTGAGCCTCAGTGTCCTCACCTACAAAATGAGAAGTTGCACTCAGTGCTCTCGGAGGTCCCGCCCACTCTGGTGGTCTGCTGTTCTCTTTCGGAAGGCTCAGCTCTTGGTGGTGACACATCTACTTCATCAGTTTCAGTTTTCTTATCTGTAAAATGACCACAGTTCTGCAAGGGCAAGAACGTATCTGTCTTTTCATTGCCACATCCCCGGGCCATGCTTAGTAGTAGGTGCTCAGTGAGAGCCCTTTGCGTGAACCCGTACTACAGTGAGGATCCAACTCGCCGACCACCAGGACCGACCTGCTTTCTTCCTGTATTTCCCCATTGATGGGACAGACAGCACCCAGGGCCCCCTCCTGGGGCTGGGTGAGCGCTTGGGTCTCCCTGTCCCCTATTCTCAGGTGGGAGTGGGAGGGCCTGGCTCCACACCCCCTCGCCAGCCCTCCCACCAGCCGGTGTGGTGGCATTAGTTGAACCAAGGGAAGTCGCCCACCCTTGGTGGTCATGACTGATCCTCTGATATGTCTTTACAATGTACCTAACAGAGATGTCCTTCCTTCTCCATCATCCAACCTGGTCCCTGCAATGTCCCTGCAGGCAGGGTTGAACTGGCCATGGCTGTCAGAGGACTCACTGGGAATCACTAGCAGGGGCCCAGTGAGCTGGGCCAGGGAGGGGACCTCTAGTCTCTAGCCTGGAACCCTGCCTACCCAGCCAATGGCAACCCCTAGGAGATGGAGAACTTGCTGACCTATAAGCGGAGAGCCATAGAGCACGTGCTGCAGGTGGAGACCTCCCAGAAGCCCTCACGTGTGGTCAGCCCGGAGGAGATGCTGCAGGGGTGGGTGTTGGGAGCAGGTGGGGAGGGAGGCTGGGGCACTGCAGGGCACCCTGGGAGGAAGTTCCACACCAGACCTCTGTCTTCCTGTGGTTGCCCTGAGCACCAGCCTCCTAGTGGACACCCCAGAGGGGCTCTATCTGCCTTTGTTCCGCCCTAGGCGTTAAACCATGCCTGCCACTTCTGCCACCCTGCTCCAGTGGCCCTCCCATCTACACACACACACACACACACACACACTCTCACTCTCCCTCCCTCTCTCTCCCTCCTCCTCCCTTCCTCTCCCTCCCTCCCCTTCCCTCCCTCCCTCTCTTTCCCTCCTCCTCCCTCCCTCCCCTTCCCTCCCTCTCTCTCCCTCCCCCTCTCTCCCTCCCCCTCCCTCCCTCCTCCTCCCTCCATCTCCCTCCCTCCCCTTCCCTCCCTCTCTCTCCCTCCCCCTCCTACCCCCTCCCTCCCCTTCTCCCCCTCTCTCTCCCTCCCCTTCCCTCCCTCTCTCTCCCTCCTCCTCCCTTCCTCTCCCTCCCTCCCCCTCCCTTCCTCTCCCCCTCCCTCCCTCTCTCTCCCTCCCCCTCCCTACCCCCCCATCACCCTTCCACACATTCTCTTCCCTCCTGGCCTCTAAGACTGCAGCTCCCCCAGCCTGACCTGTGATCCTCCCCTGCACCTCGCTGGCCTCCCCACTCCTGCTTCAGCCTCAGTGGGATGCTTCCCTCTGGAAGCTGGCCATGACTACCCTTCCTTCCCTGGAGGTGACTGCCCTGTCCTGCTGACTCCCTGTCTCCTCATTGGCCAGGAGCCCCACAACCATGGATGGGGACCGTGGCCATTTGGTAACATTTGTCTCTCCTGCTCCTAGCAGTGTGCCCAGGGGTCAGGGCTCACAGTACTTGCCATCTAGAGTGGAAACACACACACTCATATTCATAGGACACTTAGCGACATGCTGGCACGGCCCGCGGCAACCAGGCGCGTCCTTCCTGGGTGCCTCCCTTTCACCACCCTGCTCCCCTCCATCTGGCCCCTGGGCCGGGGCCTTCAGCATCCCTCTGTCCTCCCCCAGGTTCCTGAAGAACAACAGCCATGTGGGTGAGGAGTGCGGGAAACTCCTCCTGCAGAGAGGAACCACCCCGGAGGCCACAGGTAAAGGTCTCCCTCTCCAAGCTTTGTGGACTGTCACTGGCATGGCATCGAGGACTTGCATGGACCAGGCATGATACTTAGTGCTTTGCAAACACGTCCGGGCTGCATTCAGGTCGTGAGCACCATCTGTTTGACTTGTGCAGTTTAAACAAAAACATTGGGTGGGGGGATAGGACACCTTATTTAAAATAGTAAGATTTTATGTAGAAATAGAAATTCTTCTGGTTTCTTTTGAAAAGTTGGGAGATCTGGCAACACATCTGTTCCCTGCAGGCAAGGAGTAGCCCCACAGAAGCCCCTCTCCCTGTGAACAGGCACTGTGCCCACTCTGCCAGGCTTCTGCTGGCATCTGTGTCGGTGACCTTGGGAGGTCCCAGCAGAGGCCTTTGGGTTTTGGGGATTGGCTAACTTCACTTAGCATTATCTTCTCCAACTTCATCCATTTAGCTGCAAATGCCATAATTTTATTCTCCTTTAATCCTGTGTAATATTCCATTTTGTATATATACCACATTTTCTTTATCCATTCATCTACTGAAGGGCATCTAGGTTGGTCCCACAGTTTATAATTTTTGTAAATTGTGCTACTGTAAACATGGATGTGGCTGTGTCCCTGTAGTATGCTGTTTTTAAGTCCTTTGGGTATAAACCGAGGAGTGAGATAGCTGGGTCAAATGGTGGTTCCATTCCCAGTTTTCCAAGGAATCTCCATACTGCTTTCCATATTGGCTGCACCAATTTGCAGTCCCACCAGCAATGTATGAGTGTGCCTTTTCCCCCACATCCTCACCAACCCTTATTGTTGTTTGTACTCTTAACAGCTGCCATTCTGACTAGAGTGAGGTGAAATCTTAGAGTAATTTTGATTTGCATTTCTCTAATTGCTAGACATGATGAACATTTTTTCATATATTTGTTGATTAATTGTATATCATATTCTGAGAAGTGTCTTTTTAGTTCCTTTGCCCGTTTATTAACTGGCTTATTTGTCTTTTTGGTGTTTAGCTTTTTGAGTTCTTTATATACCCTAGAATTACTGCTCTATTTGATGTGCAAGTGGTAAAAATTTGTTCCCAAGCTGTAGGCTCTCTGTTCACTTCACTGATTGTTTCTTTTGCTGAGAAGCTTTTTAGTTTGAATCCATCCCATTTAATTCTTGATTTTTTTAATATTTATCTTTAGGTGTAGATGGACACAACACAATGCATTTTATTTTTATGTGGTGCTGAGGATCGAACCTGGGTCCCACCCATGCTAGGGGTGCGCTCTACCACTGAGCCACAATCCCAGCCCTTAATTCTTGACTTTAATTCTGGCACGTCTTGTTAAGGAAGTAGGAGCCTAATCTGACATGATGGAGATTTGGGCCTACTTTTTCTATTAGACGCAGGGTGAGACCCAAATCTTGATCTGCAACTATGAAAGGAAGGAGGCAGAAGACAGGGAAGTGGACCAGCCCCTGGAGGGCTGGAGTTGACCAGCATGGGTCCTCAGGAATCAGGGCCCCTTGATTTACGTATGTGGACACCAGGGCCAGAGGGGCTCTGCAGCCTTTGAGGGCATCCATCCATTCGCACATTCAGCACATCTGACATACCAGCCTGAGCCCCCACCCTGAGCCGGCCGTGCTGCCTCATGCAGCGGGTGAGAGGGTGGGCAGAAATAGAGAAGCAGCCCAGCTCCCGCCCTCACAGAGCTCCCAGCTGGCGGGCAGGCTGACAGGAAGTAACCACCACCCACACGCACACTGTTGGCCCAAGCAGCTGGGTCCTGCCTGGGGCTGCTCAGTGATGGGCAGAATGGATCCTTGGAAAGGCTGGAGGACGTGGCGTCGGACCTCAGGCCACAGGAGACGGTGCTACCCTCTGAGATAACCCCCTTTTTGATGTATTTTCCTATCCTTCGAGCTAGGCAGGAGGAAGATGGATCTTGGTGGGCTCTGGTCCTGCCAGGCAGTGAGGGCATCATGGTGAAAACCCAGAGAGCCAGGGGCCTCTGCCTGGGATTCAAGAGGCTGGGTGATCTGTGGGTGCTGCAACCAGAACCTCCCAGGCACAGGGTCCTTCTAAGCATGCGGAGACACAAAGCCCTGGTTAGAACCTCTATCAACAATTAAACATTACATTTATCATCTAAATTTATCATCTAAGAGTTCCATAATCTCTAATTAGAGTGGAAAAACATAATAATTACGGAAAATATCTCTCCTTCATGTTTCCGTGATTGTTTCTTCCTCAGAGAGCCACGTCCATGTTCAAATGTTGGCCTATCCCCGCCCTACTTCTTGAACATCCCTGGGGGTCATGGCTTTTCCAAAGGGGCTGGGCAGACGTGTCCACCTAGACATGATTTTAGTTTCATTTTTCAATTTAATATTAACTTTTTTTTTTTTTAGCACATACTAAGTCACAGGAATAGAAAATCTCACAGTCTCGTTGTTCCCATCCATCTTTTTCCTCATCTCACCTGCAAGTTAATCCCCCTTCTGAGCTTTTTCACATTCATCTTGGTCTGCTTTCTGTTGCTCTAACAAAATACCTGAGGCCAGGTAATTGATAAATAATAGAAATGTAGGGGCTAGGGCCTAGCTCGGTAGTGATTGCCAGGTATGGTTCAGTCAGAAGGAGATGAGGAGAAAAGAAGGTGCAAACAGACAGACTTCTTCCACTCTCCAGATTCTGGAGCCGGGAAATCCAAGAGCACAGTGCAGGCATCTGCCGGGCATCTAGCATGGGCCTTCTTGCTGCAGAGGGCATCACATGCACGAGCATTGGAGAGCGCTCCAATTAATCCTTTCATGAGGGTAGGGGCCTCATAACTCAGTCACCTCCCAAAGGTCCCCTCCAGATACCACTGACAGGTGAGACTGGGGACGAGACTTCCAAGACATGAGATTTAGGACGTGCTCAAGCCACAGCGACATCCTTCCAGGCTGTCCTTGGTGGAGCACAGGACTCCCCTCCACCTGCGTGGCTGGTCGGCACCGGAGAGTCTCCTTGGAGGCCTCCCTGGTAGGAAACTGGAGGCTGGTCCCCATGTTCCCTAATGGTGTCAGGCTAACTTAGCCAGTCACCTGGGGAGGGACACTGGCTGTGAGTGGTCTGTGCTGTCCCCTGGCCGTGTGGATGTCTGCACAGCCATGGACAAAGGCAGGCACGCAGACCAGAACCCAAACTGAGGCACCTCTTCCCTGGCCAAGGTGAGCACAGGGGCCTCCAAGACATTGCCATTGTCCTCATAGCTGTGCCTTGGTGTCCTCTCAGCCAACTCTGCTGACTGAGAGGCCTGTGTCCCTGGATGTCACTTGTTTCGAATTTTGTCCATTTCCTAAGAACTGGTATCTTCCCGTAGTTGTAGTTCTGTCCTCCTTTTTGGGTAGGATCTTCGTTCCCTGCTTTTGCCCCTTGCCCTGCTCGACACCCGTATCTCAGTTTGAAGACATTTTCATCTGTGGGGAGACTGGATTGCAAATACCTTCCCCTAGGGTTTCATTTTATCTTTTGACTTTACTTAAGGTAGTTTTTTTTTTTTCCTTCTTGCAATGAAGAATATTTTTTATTACAATTGAATCTATGACTTTTTTATGGCCTCTGATTTTTGAGTTGTAGTTAAAATCTCATGTTTGAGTCTAATACTGTTTTGTGTTTAGTATTTGCATTTAAATATTTAATACTGTGTACTTATCTAGTGTAGAGAATGAGGTTTGGATCTGACTTTATCTTTTTCCAGATAGCTCCTCGGTTGCCTAACACCTTTATTCTTTTTTTCTTTCTTTTTTATCTTTTTCTTTTTATTTTTCCATACTGGGGCCAAATCCAATGTTTTTCATATGCCCTCAGCCCTTTATAAATTTTGAGACAGGCTCTCAGTAAGTTGCTGAGACTGGCCTCGAACTTCTGATTCTCCTGCATCCGCCTTCTGAATAGCCGGATTACAAGTGTGCACACTGCACCCAAATTCCATTCTATTCTTTCCTGTTATTTTTCCAAGTGAATGTTTGAATCAGGTAGTTAAATTAAAAAAAAAAAACTTTGTTGGTATGTTATTTATATATACATTGAAATATTAACAAGTAATGATGTTAATAGTAATAACGTCTACTCATCATCCAACAAACAACAATAGAATAGCATCCATTCCTTTGAGCCCTCCCAGCCTCTCCCGCCTGCGTATTCCTTCCACAAGTGCTCCCGACCAGCTCCGTGTCGTGTGGGCCAGACTGTGTGCTCATGGAAGCTGTGGTCTAGCAGGGGAAAGAAGTGGCTTCATCAGTGATAGTGCATTTTAGACAGTGCCACGGTGGCCGAGGGTGGAGCCCAGTTGTGTAGCAATGGAGAAAATCAATCAGAGGGGCCTAGGGAGGCCCGGGCGAGGCGTATGCAACTTTGAACAGGAGGGCTGCTGGTAGGTGGCATTTGACTAAAACTTGTGGAGAGGGAAGGGTGGCCTTATTTTCTCACCCATGTGGATGCCCGCAGCTCACGTACCCCTCTCCCCTGCTAAGAAGGTTCCCTTCTCCCCCCGGCCAGCCCTGGGCAGCTTCCAAAGTGGCGCTTACCCACTGTGCAGCAGGGGATGCTCCGAACCCCGAGTCCCCACTTGGGTGTTCTCCCGGTGGCACTGTCCAGGCCCGGCGCTGCCACCGTTCATCCTTCCTAGGTGGGGCAGAAAGCCGAGTCACCTCCTGAAGTCGGTGGCCTGCGGGCCTCAGTGCCTCTAATGTGTCTGTTTCACTTTCCCTTCAGCAGGGAGTGACATGATTCTTAGCTGTCTACTGCTTCTGAATGACGTTCTCCGTTTCCCAGGGGAGTTTTCTGATGTGCTCAGACTCGCTGTTCCCCCCCATCAGCACCGCCCTGTGGGGTGCTGAGACTCCCGTGGGCTCCGCGGGTCTGAGGTCCAAGGGCTGTGGTCAGGCTCTGCTCCAACAGATCCCAAGACCGGAGTCCAGGGCTGGCCCAGGACCACAGCTGTGGCCTCATCAGCCCAGGGGGTAGAAATGTCCTAGCTGAGGAGGCCCCAGGGGAGCGGCGGTGAGCCCCTCCAACTCAGACCACTGAGGACCCTGCCTTGTGCCTCTCCAGGTCTGGTGCTGAACAGAGACCGGAGGATCACTTGGGTGAGTGCTGCCGTCCTCCAGCTCCTTCCTGGCTTGCCTGCTGCCCGGTGTTGGTTTTAAGTTGTTTTTCAATTATGCACCTAATATAGACATAAACAGTATTTGTCCTTTTAACCACCTATAAGGAAGCAGCTGAGTGGAAGTGGTAACCTCTAATTTTGTTTCCGTCTCCTGGGTTTGCCTATTAGGCACCTCTAAGTGGGATTGTGCCACGTTTGTCCTGTGTCTGGCTTCTTTTTTAGTTGTAGATAGACACAATATCTTTATTTATTTATATGTGGTACTGAGGATCGAACCCAGAGCCTCACACCTACAAGGCAAGTGCTCTACCACTGAGCTACAGGCCCAGCCCCCAAATCTCCTTTTTAAGGCTGAATAGTATTCCATTGTGTATTCCACATTTTCTGTATCACTCATCTATTGACCCACACCTGGGGTTCCACCCTTGGGCTACTGTCGATAATGCTGCTGTGAACATGGGGGTATAAGTGTCTGTTTGGGTCCCCACTCTCAGTTCTCTTGGCTATACCAGAGTGGGACTGCTGGGGCACACAGTGACTCTCTGTTGAACCTTTTTTAAAACAATATTTTTATTAGTTGTTGATGAACCTTTATTTTATTATTTACATGAGGTGCTGAGAATCGAACCCAGTGCCTCTCACCTGCCAGGCAAATGCTCTGCCACTGAGCCCCAGCCCAGCCCTCTGTGTGCTACTGGCCACTTGTGTGTCTTCTTTGGTCCATTTTTTAATTGGATTGTGTGGGGTTTTGTTGTTGTTGTTTTAGTTATGGATCTTAATTCCTTATGAGATATATGACTTGCAAATATTTCCTCCTACTCAACAGCCTATTTTTTTTTGGGGGGGGAACGGTTCCAGGGATTGAACCCAGAGGTGTTTAACTGCTGAGCCTCGTCCCCAAAGCTTTTTTATATTCTTTTTAGAGACAGGGTCTCACTAAGTTGCTAAAGGACCTAGCTAAATCATTGAGGCTGGATTTGAACTCACAATCCTCCTGCCTCAGCCTCCTGAGCCACTGGGATTACAGGCCACGACACCTGGCCTCTTCACTTTTTTTTCCTAATATTTTTAATTGTAGGTGGACACAATACCTTTTTACATGGTGTTAAGGATGGAGCCCAGTGCCTCACACGTGTGAGGCAAGCGCTCCACCACTGAGCCACTTTCTTGATGCACAAAAGTTCTAATTAGGGCTGGGGCTGGGACTGAGAGGTAGAGTGCTTGCCTGTGTGAGGCACTGGGTTCAATTCTCAGCACTGCATATCAATAAATAAAAAACAAAGGTCCATTGACAACTAAAAAAAATTTTTTAAAAAAGTTCTAATTATTTTTTTGGGGGGTCTTTTTTGTTTGTTTTTGGTGATTGAACCTAGGGGCTCTTAACCACATCCCCAGTACTTTTTGTTTGAGAGAGGGTCTTGCTAAGTTGCTGAGGCTGACCTCGAACTTGTAATCCTCCTGCCTTAGCCTCCCAAGTCAATGGGATTTCAGGTGTGTGCCACCAAGCCCAGTTATTTATTTATTTTTGGTACCCAGGATTGAACCCAGGGGTGCTTAACCACATCCCCACCCCTTTTGTGTATTTTATTTAGAGACAGGGTCTTACTAAGTTGCTTCAGCCTTGCTAAGTTGCTGAGGCTGGCTTTGATCTTCCTGCCCCAGTCTCTTAAGCTGCTGGTATTAGAGGCATACACAACTGTGCATGGCTCTAATTTTTTTTGGGGGGAGTGTACTGGGATTGAACCCAGGGCCTCACACATGCTAGGCAAGGGCTCTACCACCAAGCCACATACCCAGCCCCATTTCATTTGATGTAGTCCAATTTATTTTTGTTATCATCTGTGCTTTTGATATCATGTCCATAGCAGCATTGCCAAATACAGTATCATGAAGGATTTTCTCATTTTCTTCTTCTTTTTGGGGGGAAGAGTGTGGGTGCTGGAGATCGAACAGAGGGCCTTGTGCTTGCAAGGCAAGTACTCTACCAACCGAGCTACATCCCCAGTCCTCAATGTTTCCTTCTAAGAGTTCTATAGTTTCAGCTCTTAAGTTTAGATCTTTGATGTATCTGGACCACTTTTCTAAATAGTCTTTCCGAATGTTTCAGAAGATTCTGAAGTGCGACATGTCCATAGTTAAATGTATACTTTTCTCAGTAGGTTCCTTCACCTACCCCCCCCCCCCAGCTTTTTTTTTTTTTCTTGCAGTGCCGGGCATTGAACCCAGAGCCTTGCTCATGCTAGGCGAGCAGTGTACCACTGAGCTATACCCCAGCCTTTTTGAGACAGGTTCTCACTAAGTTACTGAGGCTGGCAACTTATAATCCTCCTGCCTCAGTCTCCCGAGTTGCTGGGACTACAGGCATGTGCTATGCTCCTAGACATCCTTTATTTTCTGTCTCAAATGACACATCACCATCTTCTAGGTTCCCAAGCAAAACGATGGCTGCCTGATGTTGGCCCAGTCACGGACAGACTCCACGTCCTGTGTTGTTTCATTCTTGTTTTAGGGCTTTCTGTTATGTTTACATAAATGGTTGCAGAGTGAAAGGAGCCAGCAACAAAAGGTGATTCTACTTGAAAAATCAACCCACAGGGCTGGAGGCCAGAGTAGTGCTCTCCTTGAAGAAAAGCCCTGGAACAAGCTGGAGGGCAAGGGCCCATTGTCTTGGCCCGAGTCAAGGTTACATGTGTATGTACACAGTGAAAAGCCATCAGGAGCTGACTGTCCAGCCTGGGGTTTGCTATAAGTTATACCTTAATTATTTTAAAAAACTGATCAGGAAATGAAGCTAACAAAATCTAAAAAGAGGTGTGGAGGAAGAAAGAGGGAAAAGACAGAAAGGGAAACGATACACCCAGCAGCCCCATGGCCGCAGATGCTTTCATGGAGAAAGGGCCTCTGTTGCTGGCTGGGAAACTGCTGCAGAAACAACTGCCTGTGTTGCTCCCACCTCCAGAGACAGGAGTGGAGAGAATGTCCCTCCATCCCTTCCTGCGAGATCAAGTTAAATTCAGCGAGGGCCTCACTGTGCCGTGGAGCTAGACAGCCCCAATCTTGGCAAGAACCGGAGTGTTAGAGAGGCCCGGCCCCCGCCTGAGCTTGAGTCCTGGCGCCATCTCCTGTTAGCTGTCGGCTGTGACCAAGTTCCTGGCCTCTGGGATCTAGCCTGCCTTCTGGAAAGCGCTTGCTTTAATGTTTGCCTCAGCACCACGGGGAGTTCCTCCACGGGAGGCAGCCCGCAGTGCCTGGTCACAGCCGCTGGGACTCAAGTCCACAAGAGTGTGGGCCTTGTGTAAGATGTGGAAACCTGCTTTGGGGAAAGCACCAGAGGTCATTTTAGTCATGAAAAGCAGGAAATGGCTGGAAGAGCCTCAGGACAGAGTTTTTTGTGGCCATGACCAAATGGCTTGTGTGTATCCTCAGGATTTTTTTCCCCTTTTATGGGGTGCTGGGGCTGGAACACAGGGCCTTCTGCATGGTGGGCAAGGGCTCCACCACTGAGGGACACCCACAGTCCCCAGAGGGATTTTATATTCATTGCGGTGGTGAAGAACCTTAAGGAAGGCTTACTGGAATCAGTCCTCAAGGGAGCTTTCTTGAATGATCGACGCACCTGTACTTCTGTCACCAGCATGCTGAGAGGTACAAACAAGGACAAAATTTGAGAGTTCCTGTCTGAGAGTTCTCAGACTAGAGTGCCAGGCCAGTGGTGAGCCTCATGTAATAAAAGTTTCTAGAAGCCCTAAGAGTAAAAAGAAAGCAGGGCTGGGGATGTGGCTCAAGCGGTAGCGCGCTTGCCTGGCATGCGCGTGGCTCTGGGTTCGATCCTCAGCACCACATAAAAATAAAGATGTTGTGTTCACCGAAAACTAAAAAATAAATATTAAAAAATTCTCTCTAAAAAAAAAGAAAGCAGGCAAATTAATTGTGGTGCTGGGGACCAAACAGAGGGCCAGCACATACTAGGCAAGCTCTATTCCACAGAGCTACCTGCCCCAGCCCAACTGTAATATTTTTTATTTAACCATTTCAAGACATGATTGACATCAAAGTTGATTGTTATTTTTCCAGCTGAGTCCCAAACCCAGAAGCATTTCACGACAGGGCACCTCAGTAGCCCTAGGACTGGTGGTCACAGCACTGGACAGCGCAGCCTAGACACTCTCGGTGGTCATGACAGGATGGTCAGGACTGTGGTGGAAGCCAGCAGAGGCTGGGGTGAAGTCACTCTGCACTGTGATCCAAGCAAGTTCCTTTCTCGTGGAGAGGTCTCATGAAGGTCCAGGGCCCTGTCTGGTGTCCAGGTGACAAAGTCCAGGGCAGCCTGTGCAGTAAGAAGGGGGCTGTGAGGAGCACACCTCGGTTCTAAGATCTAGGTCCAGAAGTACCCCGAGTCACTTCTCTGCCTTCAGTCAAACGGCCACACAGCTGAAAAGGGCTCAGGCAACAGTCTGGCCGACAGCCACGAGCCAGGGAGGAGACAAGAACAGATGTGGGAAAGTGGGAGGCCTGGCAGAGGTGCCACGGTGGGGCTGGGCTTGGTCTGGAGCAGGTGCTGAGGTGGCCTCACCAGGACCCACAGCCCAGGACTGCAGGGCTCCTTGCCACAAGGATTCACCCTGGCTTTGTCCCCGCAGCCGGAGTACAGCTTTGACTTCATCAGCAGGGAGCTGTTCACGCACTCCATCCAGCAGCTGCAGGCCCGCGTCCTGCTTGTCAAGTAAGTCTGGACACACCACCCTTCAGTGGCTGGCACCAGCCACCTCCATCATAAGTCAGCTTCCCAGACACCTGTGGGAAGGTGTGTGGTCTTCCTGGGGAAACCCGAGGTGCCGTAGTTCTTTGGAGGTTTTGACTTTCTGTTGGTGCACAAGTAGAAACGGCACTTGGAATCTGTACTTTTCCTGAGCTAGCAACACACGACCTCATTCTCCCCGACACTGGGCAGTGGCAGCACCCAGTAGGCCCTGAGATCACAGGGACACTGCCAGCACCTACAGTGCTTGGGTGTTTGGCAGGCTTGGCGTAATCAAGGCATTTTCCACCTGCCATGGAGCCACAGAGACATAACCCCACCATGAACTGAGGCGAATCTGTACTAAAACCATTAACTGGAACATTTTCAATAGGATGACTGTATGGTGGGTATGTTGTAGCTCAACAGATCTTAAAAAATAAAGCAAAGCCTGACCTTAGGTGGGCACAGTGGCATACTCCTGTAATCCTAGTGACCAGGAGGCTAAGGCAGGAGGATCCCAACTTTCAGGCCAGCTGCAGCAACTTAGCAAGACCCTGTCTGAAAATAAAAAATAAAAAGGGGTGCAGATGTAGCCTAGTAGTAAAGCACTTAAGCTCAATATCCAGCCCCAGCATTCAGTGGCTGTGACCCCAGTCAGTCTGGCCTGTGGCTCATACTGAATGACTGTGCTCAGTAAATCTAAGCTTTGGGAAAGTCAGAGGTAGCAGGTAGCCCAGACGTGGCGTCTTCTAAGGCACTGCTGGGAGGCAGGGTCCAAGGGGGAACCCATTTCTTCTTGCTTCCAGAGCAGCAGAAGGATACAGTGATGTGAGACGGGAGAATGATGCCAACAGGGAGCCGCTGATGTTTATGCTGGACATGATGCGATCCGTCCTAAAAGAGGTAACAGCTGGGCACTGTGGTGCATACCACAAATCCCCGCAGCTTGTGAGGCTGAAGCAAATCACAAGTTCAAAGCTGGCCTGAGCAACTTAGCAAGACTGTCTCAAAAAATGACTGGGGATGTAGCTCTGCAGCCTGGAGCCAGGAGGGCAGAGAGCACTGTGGGAGGCAGCGCATCCCTGGTTCAAATGCTATTACCTTAAAAAAAAGGCAACATGTGCAGGCTCGGGGAGCTGGTGTCCAGGCCGTGCCCACCCGCCCGGGCCCCAGGCCCCAGTGTCCTGAGGAACTATGGCCTCAATCCCCACTGTGGTCAGTCCGAGTTCAGGAAAGAGGCCTTTCATTAGCACAATATTCTATTGTTCTCACATGTGTCCCCTGGGTCAGGCACAACTCGGCCCATCTGCCACAGCCCCATCGCCTCCACTAGTCCTACCAGTGGGTGTGCTAGCTGGGCTGGGGCTTGTGCCATGACCTGGACCCCCGGGAGCACCAGCACTTTGTGATCATTATCCACACAAACACCCGAGTCTGGGGCACCTGTACCCCTCACAAAAGGGCAGCCCTCCCATGGCTGGCAGGTGAGAGCTGTGGCCAGGCCTCCCTGGTTGGTGTTCCCTCAGGGACTTGCTGGTGCTGTGACCTCACTTCTCCAGGGGCCCTCATCTGTCAGGATCACCGGCAACCCCGACAGAGGCCTCCCCCACTCAGTGCTACAGCTTCACAACTCAGATGGTCCTCAACCCAAGTCCTGAGTCCCTAGGGTCTGAGGAGCCCCAGCGTGCTGGGAACACTGGTTTTATCCCCAGGGAGTGCCTGGCCCACTGGGAAGGAGCAGGCCAAGGGAGGGCACAATTGAGTTCCTGGGCTCAATGGCCACAGGTGGGCACTGCCACTTCCTTTGGCCACACCTCACCACCCTCCCTTCCTCCAGCGGTTCCAGTTTGTACAAATCCCTGGCAACCATTATGTCCACATGAATGCTCCCCACCACGTGGCCAATGTCGTCAGCTCCTTTTTACAGAGCAAACGCAGGATCCCAGCTCAGCTGTAGCCTGGACCTGGGCTACGGACATCTCACGCTCACGCTGCTCAGCCTCCACGTGGCTGGCATGGCGGCAACAGGCCTTACTGAAAACCAAGATGAACAGGAGAGAATCCTGTGATGGAGGTGGGGGAAGGGCCAAGATTCTGACATTAACGTTTGTGACTTCAAGGGGACAGCATTTAGACTTAGGGTGTCTGTTTTGTAGTTAATGACCTGTAGTGAGCTGGTATAGGCAGAAGGAAGCTTGCCTGTCATTTGGTGGCTTCTGAAGCCTTCTCCACTGCCAGCCTGGATGCAAAATAAAATGTTCTCGCCTTCTCGCTGCCTTCAAGGCTGTTCCATGGCCGGCAGGGGGTTCCGTTGAGGAGAAGGGGAGACGCAAGCAGTTACTTGTTTTCCTGACAGGTAGGAACCACTTCTGAGGGCCACATCCTCCTGCTGTGCTCCAACATGCTTCAGCACAGGGACCCGGGGTGAGCCTGTCCTTCACTTCCAGCCCACGCAGACCTGATGGGGCTGGGCCGCAGGACACAGTGGCCCTTTGGCCTACTGTCTTGCTTTGCAGAGCACAATCTCAGGCCAGCAGGCCCCATGTCCTCACTGGCCAGGCCCTGCACTCCAATGTCACTGCAGGCAGGGTCACAGCCTGGCAGGCTCAGTAGGGTCGGAATTTGCGCTGGGCCCGCATCAGCTCAATCCTCTGCTTGTCCTCCTCGAATTTCTTGCGCAGCTGTGCAAGGTCTGTGGTGTGAGAGGTCACAGAACAGGGTCAGGCAGCATCCTGTGGGAGACGCCCACTGCCCCCACTGAGAGCGCTGGCACACCCCTCACTTCCCAGGGTCGGGGAGTTCCACCAGGCCTCCCCACCCTGCCCGCTTTGGGTCATGGTCTGGATTCTGCAAGGAATCAGAACACAGTACTTGACTGCAGACCAGGTCAGAGGCAAGGCTGAGGCAGGAGGTGACATGCCAGAGTTTTGAGGTTAGAAATGCACCAATGAGAAGCCCAAAGAAAACAAAAAGATCCACATGCCTACTCCTCCCCCAAGTGAAGGAGTCCAGGTGCCTCCCTCTCCAGCCCTAGTGCCACCAAATTCAGATGGTGATTAGTCAATGAATGATCTAGGTCAAAGGGTAGGTGGGGATCTGGAATCTAAAGGAGAGAAGGCTGATAGAGGCCACGAAGTAAAGTTCAGGATCTGGAGAGAAGAAAAGGACAAGTACTAGAGAAGGGTCAGTGCAGCAGTGAGTCTCAGAGTGCGCCAGCAACAGGGCTGGGGGTCAAGACAGCTACAGAGCCCACCCTCCAGGCTCAGGCCAGGACCCTTTCCTCGAACCACAGACAGCTGTCCTACAGGACAGCTGAGACAGCAAGAGACCAAGACAGTGGAGGAGGGAGCTTAGCAGCAGCACCAAAAGCAAACCACAGGCGAAGAGATGGTGAACCGCAGAGAGCCCCAGGGCCCCCCGGGCCTTCTCTACAGCTCAGTGACTCTGGAGATCACCTCCACAGACTTCTTGCTGGCTGGAGGCTAACAGGTTCCAGCAGTAAGGGCTCAGGGGCTTGGAGGTGGGTCCCCATCCCAGATGCCTCTGTGGGTATGAATAATCCCACCCACCACTCCTGGGCAAATGCAGCTGCCCCTGGGAAGCAGGAGAGTGCTGCCAGGCTGGAACTCTAAGCCCAGAGCGCGTGTCCAAGGATGCACTCCCATCCCAACCCCCCAAGGCCATCCCCTGCCTTGGAGGAGGCCCTTACGCTCCATCTTGGTCTCCCGATGCTGCCAGGCATAGAAGTTGAGCAGCTCCTTGCGTGCACGCTTCCGTTTCTCCTTCTCCAGCACCCGCAGGCTGGCTGCCTCAGTTCGTGGAAGCACAGGCCGCCGACCCCGGCGGGTCACCTTCACCCAGCCCTCCTCATCAGGGACTCCCTCCTCCTCCTTGGCCTTCTCCTCCTCCTGCAAGGAATGGCACCCTGCTGACCAATGGCAGGACAGTGCTCCTGACCCCTCCAAAGCCTCGAGGGGCGGAACCTCCCATCCTCCTCCAGCAGTCAGACCTGCCCTGGCAGGTGCCTGCTAGCACTTAGCCCCATGGTGCAGGGCACGGGCTGAGTATGGGGATAGGGCACCGAGGTGCCAATGCTGCTCCTCCCCCACCCCCCTACAGACCATCTATATTCAACGTCACCCAGCCAGGTAGCCAAAGATTCAGTAGAGAAAGCCTGGACTCACATGGTGACCAAGGACAGGCTGTCCCCCTTGGGAGTCACATCACATACTTGCAGCCCCACCCTCCCGCAGGGAGGCAGTGTCCCTTTACCGCAGCAATCTTCTGATCATAGGCCTCCATGAATGTGTCCACCTCAACTCTCAGGGCCTCAGGGTCAGTCACTGAATCTGCGTAGTCACTGATCCACTCTGGGGGATGGGGAGACAAGGAGAGCAGCTGCCTCAGGCCTGCCAGGTGTCAGGACTTTCTGACACAGGCTGCAAGGCCTTGAGACCTGTGGCCCAGCGGGCAAGTGCTAAGATTCTAGTGGCAACAGGCTGGGTCTCCACCTTTGTCCACCTGGTGCTGAAGTTCCAGGCTAGCATCTCCTGACGCACCCCAACTAGCCCTGTCTGCCTGTGTCTCCCTCGCACTGCCATCAGGGTGCTGGCTGTGGCTCGTGGCACCCAGAGGCTGCTCCCAGAAAGCTTCCCTCACCAACCCTGGGCCCAGAAAGGAGGTGCTATGGTACTGACTATGAATGCCACTCTTCACAGGGTGACTCTCCGTAGAGACCAGCAAAGGGCCCCTCAGGGTCAAGGCGGCCGACACTCCACTTGGCTTCTGGAACACCACGTAGGCTACCTGGAATCCCTGGGGGAAGAGAGAGGTCCGAGTGGGGGAGCCCTACCCACACCAGCGCAAGTTCCCACACCTGCCCTCACCTAACCTGCTGCTGGGCCACGGAAGAGTTTAGGTGGGGGACAGTCACACTCTCAGTTACCCAACTGCTGCTGGAAGGGAGACTCATTCCCAGCTCTTCCCCCAAGGACAGGGGATACACAGGGGACATTTCTTCCAGTTTCAGAAAGGAGTCAGTGAAAAGTGGGTTCAACCTTAGGGCAGGCTCGTGGAAGCCAGGCCCAGAGAGGAAAGGACAGGGCACTCAACCGGTCAGACTCCCCTGTGCTGGGAGAAGGCGTCAGGTCCAGGCACTTGGGAAAACATGGAAGGCATAGTGCTCCTGGAGACCAAGCCCTGGCCTGAGGAGGACTCTACCTCAGGGAGAAGCAAGCAGGGAGCCCAGGGGGCCTGCAGGAGAGTGCAGAGATGGTCCCCAAGCTCTAACATGGAGAATAGAAACCACCAGGCAGGAAGTCCAAAGATGTTGCACAGCTGGCTCCTAGACCAACTGGAACTATGGAGGTTGGGAATGTCTACTATAGGACATGCTCTCAGAGTCCCACTGCCAACCTCTGCACCTACATACACACCACCATCCCCTACACAAGGGACACTAATTGCCCCCGCCCCGCCTTGTGCTGCCATTCCAGTGGAACCTGGAACTTGAAGGCCTACCGGAATGGGCATAGGGTGAAAAAACTTCGACTTGGGTTCCTTTGCACTCTCAGCAAGGTCCGGCTTCTCCTGCAACTCCACAGACTGGACAGTGCCACAAGGGGACAGCAGACGAGTCAGGCATTCCTGCCACGGCCAGAGGGAAGCACAGGATGAACATTCACAGGGCTTTCCCCAGAGCCTCCCTACACCTGGGTGGCACAGTCACATCCTTTAAAAAGGGATCCCAAAGGACCAATAGCCCAAGTCTACCCAACCGAGAAAGCCAGGGTGCCATGTCCTCTGAACAGTTCCCACATAGACAACTGGGATGTAGATATTCCCAACCTCCATAATAAAAGAGGTGGGGACACTCCTGATATTATTCTTCTAAGACAATTAAGTTAAATAAAGAGTCAAATTTAGGGTCTATGAATATAGCTCAGTTGGTAGAGGGCTTGCCTAGCATGCACAAGGCTCTGGGTTCAACCCCTAAGCACCACCAAAGAAAAGAAGGAGTCTAATCTATACTTTCAGAATCAAGATGGTGATGATCCACAGCAGAAAGGGCATGAGGGAACATCTGGGGTGTGATGATGTTTATCAATTCACACACTGATTATGTACATGGCCATGTTCAATTTGTGAAATGCATCAAGCTACACACCTATAGCCTGTGCCCTTCTCTCAACATTTGCTACACTTTAGTAAAGGTTATCTCTCATTAAGTAGCTGAGGCTGGCCTTGAATTTGTGATCTCCTGCTTCAGCCTCCCAAGTTGCTAGGATTATAGGAATATGCCACCACGCTTAGCTAGGTTAACTTTCTTCTTAATGCTTCTTTCTCCCTTGACCTTAAGAGGAATCTTTTAGAAATCTGTATTTATTTTCTTGGGCTGAGGATACAGCTCAGTTGGTAGAGTGCTTGCCTCACATGCAGCACAAGGCCCTGGGTTCAATCCCCAGCAAGACAGACAGACAGACAGACACACACACACACACCAAAAAAAAAAAAATTTAATTTTTTTCTGAAAAAAAATTTCATTCAAAATCCAGCAACTCCCTGTTTTACTTCTATAAATGTATGTAATACTAAATTTAATACTCTCTGTGGAAAAAATTAAGGTGTTTCTAGACAGAATTAGAGGTAATTTTTATTTTCTTACATTTTTCTTCACCTCCCATGGATAGGTGAAGCACTCAGCCCCATTTTTTTTAAAACATTTTTTTAGTTATAGTTGAGCACACCTTTATTTTATTTGTTTATTTTTACATGGTGCTGAGGATCAAACCCAGTGCCTTGCATGTGCTAGGCAAGTGCTCTACCGCTGAGCTATAACCCCAGTCCAGATAGGTATCATTTTTACATTCAAGAAAGAACAATGTGGACTGGGGTTGTAGCTCAGTGGAAGAGTGCTTGCTTAGCGTATGTGAGGCATGGGTTCGACTCCCAGCACCACATACAAATAAATAAAATAAAGGTCCACCAACGATTAAAAAATATTAAAAAAAAAAAAAGAAAGAAAGAACAATGTAATTCAAACAATTCTGGGTAACATATCCCTCAAATAATTTTTTTTAATTTTATTTTTTAGTTGTACACAATACCTTTGTTTTATTTCTTTTTATGTGGTGCTGAGGATCGAACCCAGGGTTTTACACATGCTACTGCTGAGCCACAACCCCAGCCCTCAAATTATATTTTTAAAATATAATTAAAGCTGAGCATGGTGGCATACACCTTTAATCCCAGCTACTTGGGAGGTTGAGGCAGGAGGATCATAAATTTAAGGCCAGCCTCAGCAATTTATTGAGACCCTGTCTCAAAAAAAAGGAAAAGAAAATTAAAAATTAAAAGGGCTGGGGGTGTAGCTCAGGGACAGAGTGATTAGGGAGCATGTGTAAGGTCCCAGGCTCATTTCCAGTACCACCAAAAACAAAACAAACAAATACTTTAGAAAGCCAATTTCCTTGGCTGGGGTTGTAGCTCAGCGGTAGAGCTCTCACCTAGAACCTGTGAGGCCCTGGGTTTGATCCTCAGCACCACATAAAAATAAATAATACAAAGGTATTGTGAACAACTAAAAAATAATAATAATTTTTAAAAAGCCAATTTCCTGAAGTCAGGTGAGGTGGCACACGCCTGGAATCCCAGCGTCTCCACAGACTGAGATGGGAAAATTGAAAGTTCAAAGCCAGCCTCAGCAAAAGCAAGGCACTAAGCAACTCAGTGAGACCCTGTCTCTACAAAAACACTCGCCAAAACCCGATTTCCTGGCTGGGCTCGGTGGTGCATGCTGTAATCCCAGCAACTGGGGAGGCAAAGACAGGATGATTGAATCCCTTTCTCTAAATTAAAAAAAAAAATAAAAAGAGCTGGGAATGTGACTCAGGGGTTGAGTGTCCTTGGGTTCAATCCTCAGTACCAAAAAAAAAAAAGAAAGAAAAAGAAAAAGCCAATTTCTTGCCACAAGAGGTAAAGGCAGCCTTCTCAACATTTGACACCCCTCCACTTTCTGAACATTTCTACCCTGGGGCCCCCATTCCAGAGCTCACAGGTCCCCTGCCAGTTCACCTCATTGCAGTATGGCGGCACATTGATGACAAAAAGGGTGCGCTTCTGAGGCCATGTAGATTGGGTGCCTTCTCGAACTCTGTGTTCTCTCACATAAAGGTAATGAGAAGCTCGCTGCTTTGCTGAGAACTTGATCGGAATGGCTGGAAGGGAAATGGTGGCATGGGAGTCAGGGTCAGGCTGCCGTGAGTGCAGGTGAGCACCTAATCCACCCAATTCCCTTTCTCCACGACCCTTCCTAGGCCGTCTGTCCACCGCGCATTCTTCCTTCAGTGAGCCCAACCTCTGGGCAGAGCCCCACCACCTCTGGGCGTGAGCACGCACATCCGCAGAAGGGGGACTCCCAAGCGGGTGGGGGAGAGAACTCATCTGGCAATTACACGGGGGCGCATGAGAGGGGGGCTCCAACTCTGCTGCTGTTGGGGTCCACACCCAATCCTTGTGGAAGCTGTCTGGAAGCTGTGTGACCGGCCTGCCACGGTGTCTCTTTTCACACTACCCTCCCCCACCCCGGACTCCCGGTTCCCCAACAAGCCGGGCCTCACACTTGCTCTCTCCGCCTGCGCACCAAACCTCGTCCCTGCACCCATTCTTCAGGTTCTGGCTCAAACTTCCTTTCTCAAGGGAGCCGCACCCTCGCCCGGCCTCCGGGTCTGAGGTCCACCTGCTGTGGATCTAGTCCGAGGGCCTCTATCGGCGCGACACCCTAAGGGCCACCTTCACGAACCTAGGGGGCCGCTCTCTTTGGGGACGCACGCGGCCTCGGGGCAGGAGGCTGGGGAGCAAGAAAGCAGACAGCAATCTTGTATCGGCTAAGAAGGAAGCACTCAGGGCGAAAGGAGGCAGGCAGTTTCCTCGCACAGGCCTTCAGAGACGGCTCTGTGGGGAAGGCTCTCACCAAGATGGGCTGACCCGGGAGAAGGGCGCCGCGTGGGTCCGCGGAGCCAGGGGCTTCTCGACTTGCCGTGGCCCAACCACGCGGCCGCTCCCGGGGCTCCCGGGACACCCCCCAGCAAAGCCTCTCCGTCTCCCAACCTCGCGTCCCCGAGCCGCTCACCGTAGTAGCCGGGTGGGCTCGGAACGCCCGCCTCAGGGTCCCTAGCCGCACGCTTTCTCCTACGCGCCACCATCTTGCCAACCGGAAACGTGGGGCTTGCTGGGAACTGTAGTTCCGCGCGGTGCGCGAGCGCGTTTCCATGACGACGTCCCCGCGAGGGCCCCGCCTTCTCGGTCCCAGCCCTGCCTTCCTGGCCCCGCCCGCCCCGCCCCAGGCGCAATCTTAATAAGCTCAAGTGAGGGAGAACCGGGACCAGGGCTGTTCAGGGTTGCGAACCGGGAGGAGCTTTCCTCCCTTCCCCCTTTCCTCTCTCCTACCCTGTCTGCCTTTCTCCCTTCCTCCCTCCCTCCTTCCTACCTCAAAGTACCAAGCGTTAGAAATACAAAGGCGAAGCCGGGCGGGGTGGTGCGCGCCAGAAATCCCAGTGGCTCGGGAGGCTGGGGCAGGAGGATCACTAGTTCAAAGCAACCTTAGCAAAGGTGAGGCCCTCAGCAACTCAGTAACACTCTGTCTCTAAATAAAATACAAAATAGGGCTGGGGATGTGGCTCAGTGGTTGAGTGCCCCTGAGTTCAATCCCTGGTACCAAAAGAAAGAAAGAAATACAAAGGTGAAGCAACATCCAGCCCTCCTGGAGTTTATATTCTAACAAGAGAAAGAAACAATAAACACATAAGCAAACCACAAACATCTGGTATGAGATGTCCTTCTTGCCACAGGGCCAGAGGCAACAGGGCCTACCAACCATGCACTGAAAACTCCAAGTCAGGGGCGGTGGTGCACATCTGTAATTCCAGCAACTTGGGAGGCTAAGGTAAAAGGATCATAAATTCAAGGCCAGCCTTAGCAACTTAGCGAGGCCCTAAGCAATTTGGGGAGACCCTGTCTTAAAATAAAGAAAGAGCTGCTAGGTTCAATGCCTGGTACATTTTATTTGGTACCAGGGATTGAACTCAGGGGCACTCAACCATTGAGCCGAATCTTCAAGCCTATTTTGCATTTTATTTAGAGACAGGGTCTCACAGAGTTAGTGTCTCCCTTTTGCTGAGGCTAGTTTTGAGCATGCGATCCTCCTGCCTCAGCCTCCCAAGCCACTGGGATTGCAGTTGTGCACCACTGCGCCCATCTTAGATTCATTTTTGTATCTAGAGACAGTTCTTATATTCATGTGCACATATCTATGAAAATAGTTATTTGCTTTATGAAGAATTTCTAGGTGTTTTGTAAGATGAGGGTTTTCCACATTACCCAGTTCTCCTTATTGCAGGAAACAAAAGTCCTATATTTCAGCTTTAAATGGCTGCTGTGGCAGGCATTTTCCTGGGACAACCTCCACAGTTCCTCCCACTCATGGGGGTGCATGCTGCCTCCTAGAGGTGAACCCTGCAATCTCTCTTGAACCTGGCTGTCCATGATTTGCTTTGTGTTCAGAATGTAACAGAAGTGAAATACAGCAGTTTCAAGCCAGGATTAACAAGTTTATAGCTTCTGCTCTCTTGGGATTCAGTGATGTCAAGTAGGTTAACCTAAACTTCTGAGTGACAAGAGAGGGAGGCTGCCAGCTAAGTGGCAGTTACATAAGATAGGTGATATGTGAAGTTTCAGCCCCAGCTGAACTGGTGGAACACACCTACACCAGTGACTCCCAGCTCTGATCCCAGGAGAAGTCTTAGAGGCTTAACAGAGATGGCTAAGCCCAAATTGCCCAAATTACAGTCTGTTGAAAAACTAACTTATTCTTGATTAAACCACTAAGTATTTTTTTATTTGTTGAAAAATGGACAATTTATCTTTCAATTACTACTTGGTCCCATCACAATCTTTGGGGATACTAAGCTAGAAACCATGTAAAAATCATATACATCTGCTTGCTGAATTGGAAAATTAAATGAATTTCACCTGTGAATGAGACATTTGAATAAAAGATTATAAAGCAAACCACTAAGTATTTTTAAAATAACTTTTTAAACATATAATTCACATGCAATAAAAATCTGCCCTCTTAGTATATACAATTTAGTGAGTCTTAGTATATTTACAAGGTTGTGTATTTATTATTTGTGGATATAATTGTCCCATGGCTGAGTGGTAGAGCCCTTGCCTGTCATGCTCTGGGTTTGGTTCTCAGCACCACAAACAAGCCAACAAAAACAGTTGTCCCTGTACCATTTGTTGAAAAGATTATTCTTTCCCCAACTGAATTGTCTTGGCAGATTTGCTGAAAATTGAGCAGAGATGAGGCTTTATTTCTGGAGTTTCCATTCTGTTCCACTGATCTATATTTTTAGCCTTATGCCAGTGCCACATGGTCTTGATGTCTGTAGTTTAGTAATCATTGTAGTAAATTTTGAACTCAGTGTCATTCCAGTGTCTTCTTTTTCAAGATTGTTTTGACTACAGTCTCTCTTTAATTTCTTCTGATGTTGAGTAGTTTTCAGAATGTAAATTTTGCACTTATTTTGTTAAATTTATTCATAAAGTGGGTGTGGTAGCGCAGGCCTGTAATCCCAGCAGCTCAGGATGCTGAGGCAGGAAGATCATAAATTCAAAGCCAGCCTCATCAATTTAGGACCTAAGCAACTTAGTGAAACTCTGTCTCAAAAAAAAAAAAAAAAAAAAAAAGAGCTGGATGCCAGGTGTGGTGATGCACACATGTATCCCAGCAGCTCGAGAGGCTGAGGCAGGATCGTGAGTTCAAAGCCAGCCTCAGCAAAAGCAAGAAACTAAGCAACTCAGTGAGACTCTGTCTCTAAATAAAATACAAAATACAGTTGGGGATGTGGCTCAGTGGTTAAGTGACCTGGGGTTCAATCCCTGGTACCAAAAAAAAAAAAATTCTTTTTTAATTTTTTGATCTATAAGTATTTTATTGATTTTGATGCTAAGAATTGTTTTCTTGTTTTTTTGCAGCATTCAGGATTAAACCCAGGGGCATTCTACTCAAGGGCTACCTCCCCAGCACACCTGCCTTTTTTTTTTTAAAGAAATTCTTTTATTTTAAATATTTTTTAGTTGTATATGAACACAATACCTTTATTGTATTTATTTTTATGTGGTGCTGAGGATCGAACCCATGGCCTTGCATATGCTAGGGCAAGCACTTCACCATGTAGCTACAACCTCAGCCCTCCATTTTTTTTTTTTTTTTTTGATACCAGGGATTGAACCCAGGGGTGTTCAGCCACTGAGCCACATCCCCAGCACCCCCCACTTTTAAAAAATATTGTTATTAGTTATTGATGGACAATTATTTATTTATTTACTTATATATGGTGCTGAGAATCGAACCCAGTGCCTCACACATGCTAGACAAGTGCTCTACCACTGAGCCACAACCTCAGCCCCCCAACCCTTTATATATACATACATACATATATATATAATTTTTTTTTTTTTTTGAGACAGGTCTTGCTAAGTTGCCCAGGCTGGCCTCCACTTTGTGATGGTCTTGCCTCAACCTCCCAAGCTGCTGGGATTATAGTCATGTGGCATTGCAAGGAATTGTTTTCTGATTTCGATTCTTTCCCCAACTGAATTGTCTTGGCAGATTTGCTGAAAATTGAGCAGAGGGCTGGGGTTGTAGCTCAGGGGTACAGCGCTTGCCTTGCACACGTGAGGTCCTGGGTTCGATCTTCAGCACCACATAAAAAAAATGAATATATTAAAAAAAGATATTTAAAAAAATGAGCAGAGATGAGGCTTTATTTCTGGAGTTTCCATTCTGTTCCACTGATCTATATTTTTAGCCTTATGCCAGTGTCACATGGTCTTGATTACTGTAGTTTAATAATCATTATAGTAAATTTTGAAATCAGGAAGTGTCATTCCAGTGCTCTTCTAATTCAAGATTGTTTTGACTACAGTCAAAACAATTAAAAATTTTTTTTTTTAGTTGTAGATGGACACCTTTTTTTATTTATATGTGGGGCCTAGTGCCTCACATGTGCAAGGCAAGCACTCTTATCAGTGAGCCGCAACCCAGCCCCTTATTTTCATGTTGTAAATTGTTCATTGCAAGTATATATTGATCTTGCAATTTTATTAGTTCTAATGTTTTAGTGAATTCCTTAGGATTTTCTATATGCAAGACCATGTCATCTGCAAATAGTTTCCTTCTTTCTTTACAATTTGATGCTTTTTTTGTTCTTGTTTTGTTTTGTGCCTAATTTCCTGGCTAATACCTCCAGTGTAATGTTGAATAGGAGTTGTAAGAGCAGGCACTCTTGGTTTAGCTCTGATTTAAGGAGAGAACCACCCAGGCATTGACTCCATTGTGATCAAAGAATACACTGTGCGGTTTCCATTATTTTTGCAAGTTATGTTGGGGATTGAATCCAGGGCATCACACAAGCTCAGCAAGCACTTTGCCACTGAGCTACATACACTCCCGACCCTGTTTTTTTGTTTTGTTTTGCTTTTCTTGTGTTTGAGATGGGGTCTTGCTGTGTGGCCCAAGTTCCAACTTGCCATCCTGCCTCAGCCTCCCAAGTATCTGCAATCATAGGCTCATGCTACTGTACTCAATTTATTTGTTTAAAAAAATTTTTTTGTAGTTGTAGATGGACAGAATGCCTTTATTTTATGTTTATTTTTATGTGGCGCTGAGGATCAAACCCAGTGCCTCACAAGTGCTAGGCAAGTGCTCTGATACTGAGCTACAACCCCAGCCTTACAACTTATTATTTTTTATGGCCAGGATATAGTCTGTGTAGGTGTATGTACCATGAGCATTTGTAAAGAATACTGTTGTGCTGATGGTGTTCTATGCTGGTTTGACATTGGTGGATGGTATTAAGATTACATATCTGCAGATGGTTCTACCAGTATGTTAAGTGTATTAGGTGTTTTTTAAAAATTTTTTTGCAGTTGTAGATGAACAGCATGACTTTGTTTAAGGATCAAACCTAGTGCCTCACACATGCTAGACAAGTGCTCTGCTACTGAGCTACAGCCCCAGCCCTCCCACTATCTCTTTTAATGGGCACATTAAACCACTTACATTTAATGTACTTAGTGATATTTTAGGGCTTAAGTCTCTCATTTTATTTTTGTTTTGTTTTCTGCCACTCCATGGGTTTTTTGAACATTTTTGAGAATTCCGTTTTTATTTACTTAATAGTATTTTGAGCACATT